TTCTTCTTTTAAGGGCTCTCGGCCATCTTGTTTCAGTGTTTTGATATCTCGATCTTCGAAGAGCACCTTAAGGTTGAGATTCGACGGGTTCCCAAAGAGAGCCGTATCTATTGGGATCCCAGATGGAGGAGTCCCAAGAATAGCTGAGACGTCAAGGATAGTGGGGCCGAGAGGGCCAAAAGGAAGGACCATGGTGTTGGTGGCCGAGCACCAAAAACTCAACGCTGCCATGAGGAGCTATTTATCTATGGTTAGCTCCATGATCGAAAGCTTGAGGGCGTCATAGATACCAAGGGCCTTCCACTCTTGGTCGAAGAAGTTTTCCATTTGGACGACCCAAGCCACCCAGTTGGCGTTGGTCGTGGGCTAGGCTCCTTGTCAGGCAGTGAGCCTTCAAAAGAGTAGTGATTGATGAAGGAACCGTATCCTTGAAGAGCGGCCCTAGGATTTGGTGGGTAATGCTCAGGTCACCTTCGAAACGCAGAGTTTTGATGGCGTTTCGATCAATGAAGCTTTTGCATTTGCTGCATTCGTCGCTAAGCTTGAAAATGAAGGTATTATGACTCATTTTGGAATTTGGAAAATGCTTGGAGAGGATTTCTGGGGCAGGAGTTTGTTTTCTAGGATATAGAAAGTAAAATGGCTGAGAGAGTCTTTGAAGGTTTCTGGAAACGTTTGGTATTCGAAAGCACTAGAGTTTGAATTGGGGGGAAAATTAACCGGGAAATGGCCAATCATTTCGGATATTTTGGAAACTTTCAAGGATAGGATAGAAGTTTTCGAGGATCTGGGACGCACGATTGCATGCGGCGGCGATTTTAATGCACTAATGAGGAAGAGACGCTTCGACGGGCGCACGTTTTCGAGGGCCATGATTGAGAGTTGTTAGGATTGGCAGAGAGTCGACATGTGGCAGTACGTCGGGAGTAACAAGGATAGTGCAATCATATTCCATAAATGCGCATGGTAATGGTTATCAAGAATAGTTAAGTCTAAAAAGCAAAGATGTTTTTGTTTCTTCAAGGTCGAGATCTGACCAAAGGTTGGCAGTCGATGACCTCAAAAGTGAGGGGGCAATGTTTGGGCCCAAAATAATATTGTTGAGCCAAGTGTAGGTTTGTGCTCAGCCCAAGGCCATGTCAAAATACTATGGGCTGCCTGATGATTCCGGGCCATTTAGCAGGGATGGTCGAGTCCTATCGTAAGAACGAGTAGTCCAGATAAGCAAAGAGGGTCGAGGAAGTCCTGGTGCAACTAGGATTCTCGACCAGCAATGAATAAAGCCCCGAAAGGGGGTGTGTTCAAAGTCCTAATGGGAGTAGGGTTGTTCGAAGCAAAGTTGGAATGGCGTAAGGACTCTCAATCCAGATTGGAGTCTAATTCGATCTTAAGGAGTTAGTGCTATAAATACAAGAAATCATGCAACAATTGAGGACCTTCAATTCAACACACAATTGCCCTACGCAAAACCTCTCAACGTCTTGAGATTTTTTATTTTCTTTTATCCAGTCGACACACCTTCAGTTTAGATAAACAGCATTATGAAGGCAACCAGCGAACACCTTCAGTTTGGATAAACAACACTATTGCCGTAGAATCAGCCGACCAAGGAACACCTTCAGTTTGGATAAACATCACTGCGTCGAGGCCGACTGGTTACCTACCTAAGTCTCGGCCGAGAAGGGTTTTCGAATCCTTGTTGGCAGAGGTCACCTTATCAACCCTCTCGGCGAAGTAAGGTGGTACGAGTTACGACATTCGGCGTATTGGACGCCGAGTGATTTTATGATTGGATACTCACAAGTGAGTTTCAGAGTTCGGCATTCTAACGGTCGAACCACATTCACCATCAAGACATACATCACCTTTGAATATTTGTGTCCGTACAGTCTGGTGTCAATTCGACGTGCTTATACTCTTACGAATATAATTACGGTGACCGAATCGGGCATCTACGATTTGTGAACTTCGCAGAACTAGCAGCCTTGTCTTCAAGCTCTAGAACCCAAAGACCGAGAGTGTTCCTTCCTCGATCGCAGTCGCAAGATAAAGAAGTCAGCAACGCGCTCAACGCGACATCAACAAATTCTACTCCTCGGCCAGGCTTGGCCGACGAGTTGGCACACCCCGCATCCAACTGAAGGACTTAGTTAGCTTATTAGTTACTCGGCCTGCGCGCCGCGTAGGTTTTGTAATTTTTAGAGTTAACAGAGAGCTATTAGGGTTTTAGTCAGAATTAACGTAGGATAAACAAAGAATGATCGTAGGGTTTAATTATAGTGTTTAGGTTTATTGATAAATTTGAGATTTATTATTAATTTCATTTTGTATTTAATAGTAATTATGCAATAGGGTAAAATAGACAATTAAGATTCAAAATTTTAAGTTGGGTATAAAAAGAGGTTGCATGGATTTAAATAAAATTTCCCTTTATAAAATTTAGCCTACAAATTTAGTTTCCCTAACATTACTCAAAGTTTTATTAATCAAGTATATAATGGGAATGAAAACGTGCAAATTACAGATGAATGCAGTACATAGGTCTATGATCAATTAATGAACTAAGGCATCTTTATATGCTGCAAAAAAAGCACACACGACTCTACTTAACAATGGGACCATATTTTTTCACCACCATAATTATAGTATATACTTATCATACACTTAATCATCTATCATGTGTTGTTTTATTTAATTCTAGTTAACTTTCACATTAAATGTTACTTTTTCAATTTTGAAAAAAAAAAAAAAAACAAAATTAAGTAAAAGGATACGTGTTCGATGATTACGTGTGTGACGAACATACACTATAGTTTATGATGATAAACAAAAATGCTCCCACTCAACCATAAGTCAAAGATTAAACTTTGGATGATGGTACCAGATAAAACAACAATAACTATCATAAGCAGTTATACAATATTTGGTAACAATATGTTATGACGGTGTACTTTTCTTTGTATCCCGTATGCTGGTTATATAACTATATTGCTACAAGTAATATTAGACCTTAAATATGAAAATCAATACCACGTCACACATTGGTTTTTATAGGTGCCAAAATTTACATCATCCAAGTTGTTCGTATCATCGCGGTGTATTGCTCGTTTAATAAAGAACAATAAACAAAATTAAGAGACGATCTTGCTAATAACGTGTTGAAATGAAAGTATAAAAAAGAGAGAATAGATATAGAGATTAGAGGAAGAAATTAGAATATCATTTCCTTCTCATTAGAGTGCCTTACATAGAAAATGTCTTCACTAATTACATATTACATATATATTGACCCAAAAGTGCACAACCATATAATAATATTATTTATAAAAAAAATCTCAATCATTACCATTAAACTTTTTTCTTTTCTAATTAACTACATAAAAAATGTTGACGGTAAAAAGACATAAATATTAGGACAATACTTACGTCCGTCGTGGAGGAATGCACATACCTTATTGCTTGTGAAATGTATTTGTATTCTTCATTTGAATATCATCCATACAAAAAATAGAAAAAAAAAACATTCGAATTCAAAGATCATTTATGTATCAAAATGTATGAAACAAATTGATGGTTTGAGTAGTACTAATTAACATATTCATGATGAACCATCCGTTTATTTAATACATATAAACTAAAGAATACATTAATCTGATGAAGATACATTATTCACAATGATATAAGTGTATTCCCTATCACGGGGTTGCAAGTATTATGAAACTCAAATGTATAATCCACTCAACTTTTTGGAGAATTTCCACCCCTTATTCAGAAACTTGAAAAATTATGGAATATATGGAAATAGTAAGCATCTGTACCAAATATGAATGAATTAGTTGTGGATGTGCGCGGAATACTGTCACCACCACTCTATCAAGCATGTGTGTCTAACTCGAATGGGTTTTGCATGACACAGTTCTTCCATGATTTTTTCTCCACGGTTTTTTCGGGTGTGGGGGAGGGAACTTCCATATGGAATTCTTAAGATCTTATGGCTTCAATTTAGTTTCTTGTCCTTAATTTGACTTTTTCATAACGTTTAGACAAATAGTAACTACGATTTAACAATATTCATCTTTACTTATAAGTAAGAGGTTTAAAAAAAAAAAAAAATCAAATTTGACTCAAATGGATGGCAATAACGTATTATATTTATGTTCAGATCAACATCTAATTAATAGCTGGCTCATTGTGTGATCTAACCCAAACCCATGTGCCTCCACGTTATCCTATATATGTTGAACATATGTTAGTCTTAAATGACGCCACACGTGAGGAGCATGTTGAGAGTATGAACCCAACCCCCATCGAAAAAAGAAACCTTGCCTAATAATGCAAAGAAAAAACATTTTTTTATACCATATTTTGTAAGCCACATGATATGGCGATTGATAGTTGAATTTAATTTTTAATAATTTAAAATTTTATTCAATTATTAACCGTCACGTGATATAAAATCATCAACTTTTCCAATTTACATTAATTAGGGTTAGGGTTTAGAGAATCTAACACCTACGTGAAATTTTCTTATTCCGGTATCTTTCATGTCATGGAGTCGGGCCTAGTGAATGTGATACATACCATCCCTATACCTATAGCTAGCCAATAGCTGCGTAGCTCCTCCTCCACATCAAATTGGGCGCGTGGGTTTGGATAATATTCATTGCCCTAGGGCACAAATCTGCCCTGTCAACAGAGCTCATTAATAATGGACAATGCTCAGTAGATCAATTTTAAAATTAAATTTGTAAATTGAATAATGTATTATTACATGTTAATTAATATTTAAGTAATAATTTAATTATTAATAATCACATCATTTAATTTACAAAATTTAGTTTACCTAGCATTATCAGGATGCTCCAATAATTATGTAAAATTTCTTAAATTGTTAAAATATGAAAAATAGAGGGAGCAAAAAGGAAGATTAGTAACTACTGGGGGTTTCCGTATTTTGTTGTAATAGAATTAGAAGATGTATCATGTGCCACTTGAATTCTCTCTGCTAGAACATCCCATTTCTATAAAAAAACAAACCTAGCCCCCTTCTGAACTCCCACTCCACACGGACAGTCCATTTTTGTGTAACCCCAAATCCTAAAGAGAAGAGGAATATATATCTATAGTTTATATATATGGGATAACAAATACAGAGACAAAAAGCACAAAATATATTTCATATTTAGTTTGGAAAAAAAGAAGGGGAAATTGAAGAGGGGAGAATATGGGGAGGGGAAGAGTAGAGCTGAAGAGAATAGAGAACAAGATTAACAGGCAGGTGACTTTCTCAAAGAGAAGAAATGGGTTGTTGAAGAAAGCCTATGAACTCTCTGTGCTCTGTGATGCTGAGGTTGGCCTTATCGTCTTCTCTACCCGTGGCAAGCTCTATGAGTTTGCCAGTGCTGGGTACTCTCTCTCTCTCTCTCTCACTAAAGTTTAAAAAAGATTGGTTCTTTGTTCATTTTATGGATTATGTGGTAATGGGTGGTTCTTAGATTTTCTTCTTCTTCTTCTTCTTCTTCTTTTTTATTTTTTTTATTTTTTCTATATTTTTTGATGCATTTGTTTATCTCAGAAAGTTCATTCCTTTATTGTTGCATATTTCTTAAAAACCATTTTCTTTTGGAATTTTGGTTTCACATTTGTTGTTACTACTTCTTCAAAGATTATAACTTAAGTTTTTTTTTCTCCTCCCTTGTTTTTGTTTCTTTAGCTAATTGCACCTGTCTCTTACACCTCTCCTTCTCTGGCTGAGTAATCTTTTTTTTCTGATACTCCTTGTGCTCTTAACGTTTTTTGGATCAAACAAAGGCAGGTTTACTGCGTCTATTATTATGCATTTTCCCAATCCCAGATCGACACGTTTCATCCCCTCTCTCTCTTCATCTCTCTAGCTAGCTAAGCTCTTCTGGGTATATGGATGTGGTTGCTTGTCTTTGTTCTTTCATATATGTGAGAACAACTTCTCATCTCATATCATGTGGGGAGGTTTTAACAAAACTGGACCTGCAGAAATCACCTGACTAGGAAACTCATCTTTTACCTTTGTGTAAGAACTGGGCTCTCTCTCCCTCTCACGCACACATACACACACACAATATCCAAGGTTCATAGAAACTAGTCCTCATTTCTTTAAAGCCTATGGTCTTTTGGTTTTACCAGTATTGTCCGTCTCTCTCTCTCTCTCTCTCTCTCTCTCTCTCTCTCTCTATATATATATATATATATATATATATGATGGCCTCTATGGTGGGAGCAAATCTAAGCCTACAGTTCTGCCCAGATACATTATGTTGGTCACTTTGTTTCATCTTTTGATCCCTAGGTTCAATGGGATTCTCTCTCTCTCTCGCTCTCTCTCTCTCTCTCTCTCTCTCTCTCTCTCTCTCTCTATATATATATATATAGCAATTAAGCTGTGTAGAAAATCAAGCATTGGTAAGCTCAAGAGTGATGAAATCTTGATCTTCAGATCTTTGGTCCCTTTTTTTTGGTAAAGAGTTCTTTGGTCCTTCAGATCTATGGTAATCTTCTTTATTTTAGTTTCTTAAAGGAACGCAGCTAGGGTTAAGTCATGGTTTTTGGTCAAGGAAAGTATTTGTATTTGAATCAGAATATTTTCAGAAAAAGATGTTACCTAAAATTGCCTTTTTCCTGGAAAGAGAGTCCCAGGTTTTGTTTAGCAACAACCGGTAGTCAAGGATTCGATTTGACAAACTGGACCTCAGTTCCAACATTCAAATTGTATGATCCATATTGTTGAATGGTACATTAAATGATGCATGTTCAACTGCATATGTATATACATATACTTTTATATATGCTGACGATATATATTTCCATAATCAATTATCCCCAGGTTCCCGAGTAGATTTTGTTTTGTTTTGCTACTTTGGTGAAAATATTGCTCTCTCTCTCTCTCTCTCTCTCTCTCTCTAAAAGCTTTTGATGTGTGAAGACTTGCCTGCAATTGTGAATCATGATATCATAAGCTTTTGATGTGTCGAGACTTGCCCGCAATTTTGAATCATGATATCATCAGCTGTTTAGTATTTCCTCCTCTTATGTACAATTAATGTCACAGACCATATATTAAATAGAAAATTTCCAATTTTGGTTTCAAAATTTATTTTTCAGTTTTTCTTACATTCTGGAAATAGATTCTGAACCTGGGTTCTAAAAAAATTCATTAAAATAAAAGGAAAACATATTCAAGCATATCTATAAAGCTGCAACACTTGCATAAATAAGTACAGTTCTATTTCATATTGCATATGTAATTAACATCTATATTTTACTTTTTATTTTGTGGTGGTCTTAACTTATAAAGATCTTTAACCTCAACCGGAATCTCTGAATCATGAACTCATTAGTGTATGCGTGTGTAAAGAAGCTAGAGAGTTAATTTATTGTTTCATTGATTTTAAAGTTAATTTCCTGCCATGTTTTTAACTTCATATATATATATATATGTTCATTTTACACTAGAATATATATATATTCATTTTACATAATCAGCCCAGAATATTTATTCAGATAATGAAATGCTTGAAACTTTTGCTCATAAGAATTTATCTTGGTGTACTTGAGATCAATGGTACTTTAATTAGTGAATTTCTTGGTATAATTTGCTATTTAATTAGGTTTAAATTTGTGAGCCGGTCGTTTACCATAAGTTTTAAAAATTATGTGCTGATCTGATGGCTTTGCTGTGGGAATAATTTCTTTATTTGATTCACCAACCAGTTTTCACAAACAAAATTTTAATTTATACTTTCTCATCGCAGTATGAGCAAAACCCTTGAACGGTACCAACGTTGCTCCTTCACTCCACATGAGAACAGCATTGAACGTGAAACACAGGTTACTCTAGTTAATTTCTACTGTTTATCAAAAGTAGTTTCCTTTAGGTTAAACTTGTACTGCACTCAAATCAGAAATTAATTTCATGGGTTTAACAGTTTAGTTAATTTTGTAGAAATATCAAGAACACAGCTTCAAGGTCACCAATGGTGACTAAGTATTTAAGGAAGACGAAGAGACAGAGAGAGAAAGGGATATACAGTGAGAGAGAATTTCTGATATATTTCTTAACTAACTCTTAATACAAGCATATTATCTCCTTTTATACTAGTTACATTACTTACTCCCTAAGCAATCAATATCTTAATAAACTAACTATACTGCCTAATCTATTGACACATGGCAGTATCTTGACCCTTATCATCCTTACATCCCCCCTCAATCTCATACTTGTTCGAACCAATCATGAGATTGGAACAATGCTTGTGAAAGAGAGAAATAGACAAGCCTTTAGTGAGAATATCAGCAAACTGCTCCTTGGAAGATACATGTTGCACATCTAAGTCTCCTCGAATCACCCTTTCTCTGACGAAATGGTAGTCAAACTCGATATGTTTCACTCAAGAGTGAAATACCGGATTGGAAGACAAGGCTATGACACTGATATTATCACACAGCAGTAATGGAGGAGCAAAAAGAGGCACTTGAAGATCACACAATAGTGTCAGATCCATGATAACTCTGAGCTGTGATGGCCAATGCTCTATATTCAGCTTCGGTAGATGATCTGGAGACTATATGTTGCTTTTTGGAAGCCCAAGAAATAGGACTAGAACCACAGTACACAATATATCCAAAGGTTGACCTTCAATCATTGGGATCACCAGCCTAATCTGCATCACTATAAACTTGCAGAGACAGGTTTCCAGGTTGAAAATTAATACCATAATGAATGGTACCACTGAGATATCTAAGAATTCGCTTGAGAGCTACAACATAAGAATGCATAGGCTGATGCATAAACTGACAACACTGATTCACTGCAAAAGCAATATCAAGCTGAGTAAAAGTCAAATATTGCAAGGCACCAACTATACTTTGATATTGATCCGAATTGTGATATGGATCACCATCATCCTTTAAGAGCCTATGATATGGAAGCCAAGGTGTAGTACAGGGTTTGGAGTTGCTCGTGTCCACTCGAGCTAGCAAATCTCTAATATATTTCTACTGAGAAACAAATAAACCATTTGAATGATATGAAATCTGCAATCCGAGAAAGTAGTTTAACTGTCCCAAATCTTTCATATCAAATGCCTTGGTTAACTCTAAGATTACGACAGCAATATCAAATGAACTACTACCAGTGAGGATTATGTCATCAAGATAAAGTAACAAGACCACAATCCCAAGATAAGTGTGTTTGACAAACAAAAAAGGATCAACAAGTGAAGCCCGAAACCCCAATCTTGGTAGAAAGCTAGTGAACTTGTCATTCCAGGCTCTTGGAGCCTGTTTAAGACCATACAAGGATTTATTAAGCTTGCAAACAAAATCAGAAGGATGATGAGTACTACCAAAACCAGGGGGCTGTGACATATACACTTCCTCGATCAAATCACCATGTAAAAAGACATTTTTTACATCAAGCTGCCTTAAAGACCATTGAAATTGAGCTGCAAGTGCTAAAATAAGTCGGACAGAAGTTGGCTTGACTACAGGACTGAAAGTCTCACTATAATCAATGCCCTCATCTTGATTATACCCTTTAGCAACTAGCCGAGCCGTATACTGGGCTATAGACCCATCTGGATTCTTCTTGATCCTATAAACCCATTTACACCCAACCAAGTTTTTCCCAGATGGAAGAGGAACCAAATCCTAAGTATGTTGAGCATGTAAGGCATCAATTTCATCTTTCATGGCTGCTTGCCACTCTGCAACCTTACTAGCAGCTTTGAAGGATGAGGGTTCTATATCAGAATGCTCAACACGGGACAAAGAGGCCACAAAGGCTTTCTTCTTAATAATGCCACTTTTAGATCGAGTTTTGATGGGATGTAGACTCACAGAAGGCACTAAAAGAACAATTGTGAGATTTTCTGGTTGAAAATCAGGATCCGCAGGGACTGGAGACTGTGTAGATGTTGAAGATGTAGATATACTAAGTGGTAGAGAAGTCAAAGACTCTAAAACGTTAGATATAGGTTCAGGGATATGGATAGGAGATGAAGATAACTCTGGGGCTCGAATTGGGGAGGCCAAGGACTCAGAGGCATTAGTGGGTTCATGAAAGAACTTTGAAGCTCTAGTTGGTTGAGGCAAGGGTAAAGATGCATAAGATGTAGATGTGTTATTTGAAACAACTACATTTTGACTTGTGATCAGTGGTGCAATAGATGGTGGTGTGACAAAAACAGAATAAGAACACTATGAAGGTTTGACAAGTAAGTTTTTGTAGGGAAAGGTGCTCTCATCAAAAACAACATGCCTAGACACATAAAACCTCCCTGAGAGTGGATTAAAACAAATATAACCTTTGTATTGACCTGCATAACCAAGAAATGTACATTGAACTATTTTGGTTGAAGTTTGTTGGTATTGTAAGGCTTTAACAAGGGATAACAACTACACCCGAAAACTTTTAAATGTGTCAAACCAGGAGGTTTATCAAAAAGACAAGTATAAGGACTAAGTATTTAAGGAAGATGAAGAGACAGAAAGAGAAAGGGATATAGAGTGAGAGAGAATTTCTGATATATTTCTTAACTAACTCTTAATACAAGCATATTATCTCCTTTTATACTAGTTACATTACTTACTCCCGAAGCAATCAATATCTTAACAAACTAACAACTATACTGCCTAATCTATTGACACATGACATTATCTTGACCCTTATCATCCTTACAAATTCAAGCATAATTTCATGAATGATCTTAACTACGTTTTCTTTTTGTGTGTATATATGGCTAATAATCATGCAGAGCTGGTACCAAGAAGTCACAAAACTGAAAGCTAAATATGAATCCCTTCAGCGAACTCAAAGGTTATGCAATAACTCATTAGAAAATAACAAATCAATAACTATATATCCATAATTATTTGCCGACCTTGGTTTATTTTTGTGATGCATTTGGATTAAGGTATTTGCTTGGTGAAGATCTTGGACCGCTGAGTGTGAAGGAGTTGCAAAATCTTGAAAATCAACTTGAAGTGGCTCTTGCACAAGCCAGACAAAGGAAGGTGATTATTAATGCGTAATTACTTGCTATCGTTAAGAAATTAAATTGTTAATTTATAGCATTGAAAGCTAATCCTTTTTTTAATTTTAGTTGTACGTCGATCACAAATATGAAAACACAACTAGAGGATCCTATTTCTATAGCTATCATCATCTGTCTAATGATAGTGACACTCAGGTATCACAATTTTTTTTTTCTCCAAACTTTATTCTAAGGTATTGCAAAATAAATTAATGCCTAACTTTGTTTTGCCTAATTAACTTTTAATAATAAATGTAGACCGGCAACCAACCCATCTTACAGGCTGCACTCCTTTTGTTTTCTTATTTTTCTCACTAAAATACATAAACATACATATTAAGTTCACAATGGTAAATTAATTAACTAGCCAGTTAAATGGACTGATAAGCTAATTGGACAATGAGATAATCTTATATATTCGGATTGTTCTTGATTGTAGACACAGCTTATGATCGAACAAATGGAGGACCTGCGCAAAAAGGTAAGAGAACTCTGAATTTATATAGTTAATTAAGTAATCATCTTCTACAAATAAAGAGCTCTCATCATCTCTCTTGCCATCGTCTTACAGACTGCAGTAATGCCATTGCACGTATGTGGTGATCGATGGAGGGGTGGGGTAATATCGTAATCAGTTAGGATTATGATAAGTCTATACTTTGATTCCCTGCAAAGTAACCAGAACAAACATTTCTACTAAAATAATACACACCATGTTCATAATTTTATTAGCTGTATAACTTTCACAAACACAAATAATTTCTAACCTACACTTGTTCTTTTTTTCTTGCAAATTCTTGTGTTCTAAACTTGTCATTAGCATCTAAATATTTTCTAATATTCAAATATGGCAGGAGCGTCACCTTGGAGACCTTAACAAAGAGCTCAGGGTCAAGGTAAATATGGTATGATATTCCTCCATATTTATGCCAGTAATACTCCATATTTGTGACACTAATTAAACTAATTATAACTAGTATTGTGTTTATGTGCTTTAATTTGATTAGCTTGAGGCAGAAGGGCATAATCTGAAAGTCATTCAGAACATGTGGAGCTCAAATGCAGCAGCTGGAAGTAGCAACTTTTCTTTGCATTCTTCACAAACCAATCCCATGGACTGTACACCTGAACCTGTCTTACAAATAGGGTAATTATCTCATCTCTCTTTTGTGCTTTTGGCTAAACTCAAGCTAGACTGATCAGATCATTGTTTTTCTGGAACAACTTCAACTACAAAAATACTAGCGATTAGGGTGAAAAAATAATCTTTGTCCTTTCTTGCAAAGTAAAAGTTTTCTTGTAGTTAATTGTGTTGGTAAATTTTTGGGTTTATGTTTAATGATCCAAAATTGTAAACTATTGTGCAAGTTTCGAACCATGCGAAACGGGTAAAACAGTATTCTTATCCGAAAATTGCTATTTTTTGAACTTAAGCGGAATGAATTATTATTCAGGTCATCCTTCTCATAATATTGTTAGTTAATTATTTTACCAGTATGCAAAAGTTGTGCAAGAATCATTTGATGTGATAATAGTTGCTCGTTTGAACGTTGAACAGGTACCAGCAATATCTTCCAGCTGAGGGACCTTCTATTCCAAAGACCGTGGCCGGTGAGACCAACTTCATCCAAGGATGGTTTCCCTGAAAACCTTCAAGGCCAAAAATGAAGGATATATATTTATATATTACTGCAGCATCACTGTCTGATATATACACACATATTCTGCTTTGCAAGAATATATGACTTTATGCTTTGTCTAGATTTATTGTTTTGCTTTAACAATTGTCATGGTGCCAACATATTTACTTGAGTATGACAAGAGGTGTTTATATTTGTACGTGATTCAATATTTTAGTGGATAGGGTATTCTCATCGAAAAAAACTGACCTGACTACTACTATCACATCAAATAATTCTTGCACATTTGCACGGATTCAAAACACCTCTCTCCCCTAACAGAGTATGATTCTCTCTCCTCCCCTTCCCTCCTCTCTCACTTTCCTTTTTGTCTTTCTTTCTCTATAAAGAAGTCAACATGCTAACATAACTTAATTGTAATAATTTTGAACACTCCCCTTCTCCATAATAATAGTAATAATGATATTTAAAAAAGAACAAAAAAAGGTGTTTATGCTTCTAGATTGCTTGTGTTTCCTTATTCTTATTTGTTTCTTTTTACTTTTTATTTATTGATAATTGCTTGTAGCTTTGGGCCTTGATTGTTGGATTTTGGACATCTATCAGTCAGTTTGTTTCTTGAGTTTTAGGACCACACTTAGCCCAGTAGGTATTTTGAATAACCATTCAATTGGGCCTTCGCTCACATTAAGGTGTTTGGAGTTTGATAAATCAAATCCAATCAAAATTCTTTTTTTTATTTTTTATTTTTTTTGTACAAGAGATATAGCCATATAGAAAAGAAAAAAGAGAATCGATCACAAAACTTATATTGACTATTTTATGGGTGGTTTAGGGATATGCTGAGGTTTGCCAGCGAACTGTGGTGTATGTGCAAGTGCATGATGGAGCAAAAGCTTTTCTTCCTCGATGATTATAAGATAAGAAAATTTTATGTCTCGATCATTTTTAATTAATTAATAAAATTTACATTGGAGGGTCTAAGTTCTTTTAGCAGTCGTTTTACAATAGAGTACAAGTTCTCAATCGTATTTAGTTATCTAAAAAAAAATTGACATTATTATGTAATAAAGATAGCATGGCGTTTACCTAAGGAGTCGTTGGTTTTTTCTCTAGTACCATTTGTTACGATCCAAGAGTTCATCCATGAGTGCTAGTTGAAGTTGATTTTGGACTTCTAACCGTTACTCAGGTATCGAAGAACTCCACATCACATGTGAGATTCAAGGTATCATTGTATTATAGGAAGCTTTTTAACACTTGACCAAGATATTTACCAAATTAATTTAGTATTTATTTCGTGTAAACTCGACTAGAGACCTTGCCCCTACAATGAATTAAAATTTGATTGACGATCTCATTTCAGAAGCGACGATAATCCAACTCCGTCTTGACTTATAGGTAAAATTACTTTTGAGTGCTATATTGGCACCAAATGAAGGTGTTTTTTTTAAAAAAAAAAAAAAAAATTAGGTTCCCATCCTTAGTGAGGACAATTACTTGATTGAAACCTTGTGTCCTTTTAACTTTTGATTGAAGTGCTTGACCCTTTTTTTTTGGGTTAAATTTTATTATTATTGAGGGGAGGGAAAAGGATTCGAAACTATTACAATAACTTAGGGGAGGAGAGAGTTTCGAACTCGGGATGCATGAGTGGAAAACCAACACTCTATCCACTAGGACATTGGACCACATGAAAGTCCTTGACTTCATTCTACATTAGCATTTTATATTATTTTTATTATAAATAAGTATTTAATTGAGTGTTTCTATTTTGGGCAACTAATTATCATCCTAAATTAAATTCTTTTTAATACAATTAAACCTTTAAATCCTTTTTTCATTTTTTTGAATCAATCGAAAAAATAAAATGACCACAAAACTACTACCATATATGTAAGTGGGCAAAATATACTTGGGATATTTAGATTTGGTTCCAAAATATCAACATGCTTTGGAGTAAAACAATATCGCGTTTTTTAAGGTGTGGACCGAATATGGGTCGTTGGATGAAATCTGAATTGGCAAAAAACAAATCCACCATACTGAGCTTAGGGTAAAATCGGGTCATAAATGGCCCGTCACTTATTAAAATGGTACCCGACATGAATTCAAAATTTCTTAGGATTTAAATTGTCCCTCCTTGACATCAACACTTACCATCTTTAATAAGTCTTGTCCTCCAAAAAAAGTCCCTCTCCTGCATTTGCTCAAACATTGTTGCCGTCGAAAACATCATTCTCGTTCGAAAACTTGCTTCCTGTTCTAAACCTAGTAATAGTTGGTATGTGCTTGTATTCTCCAGCCTTATAGAAATTCTAGACATCATTGAAGAAAGTCAAGATAGTTTGGTTGAATGTTGGGTAGTCGGTTCCACATAAAGAATGTACTATTTGCTTCATTCGAGCTGGGTTGAGAGTGCTTCCACAATAACCGACGTCATATTTGATTCCCCCAGTGAATTTCAAATTTGGTAAGTTTTGAAATTGGAACCTTAGAATTTAATTTTGTTATTTTTGTTAATTAGTATAAATTATGCTTGGTGTATGGTTAATTATGCATGTTCGTTGATGTAATTAGCTGGAATTTGTGGATATATGTGAAATTTTTGAGAAATTTGGGTGCCTTGTGAAATTATGAATCTATACTGACGGTTTGTGTAGAGGCTAGGTCGTTATATGTTGGTTTGGTAAAATTGTAGTTTTGAGTAAGGATTGATTTTTGTATTTGAATCATTGTTAGTTTTATGGTTGCAGGGATTGATTTTGGATCTGAATTATTGTTAATTTTATGGTCAGACTTGAAATTGCTTAAGTAATGATGTTTTGTTCACAGTAGATGTATAGCTATGAAGCTTTGGTGACCAGTTGTTGTAAGGTTATGTGTTGTTGATTGTTGATGTGTGTGTATTGTTATGTGTACATGATATGGCAACCCAGGATGTTCAACTAGCAACCAGAAAAGAAGAACCATATAGGAAAAAGGTCAACAACCTATCCCATGTTGAAAATGTGTCCTAAATCCAATCATATGATGATACTTTACAGGCATTTCACATGTTAAACTAATTGTATATGGGCAAAGATTGTTGTTTAAAGCCATCTCATATAAATGTTATACACTTAAACAATAAGTTCGAGGAATATGTAATTGGGAGAATGTGATCTAAAGAAGTTAGATTCATGAGGCCATTCTCTTTTGTACACATATCCTAAACGCTCTTGATCATAGGATTGCCAATTGGGCATTGGCGATCCATTAAGATTAGTACATGCTATATCTTCTCTTTAAGAGAGTGAATGGTCTCGAGTCATTCGTGTGATTGACACTAAGATAAGTATATAGGTTCTTAATAAAGAATGAGTCCGTTGAACGTGATCAACGAGAAGTTCTTTGACTTATGTCACATGAGAACTCATGGTTGGGATAATACAAAGTAGTGCTTTGACTTAAGACACCATCATTGTCTTATGGTTAGGTTCTTAATCTTTGATTATGTTAAAGGCATTTTGTTGAGGGTGTCCACAACATTGTTGGGGTTAAGCTACCTAGTCGTAGAGGCATGTGAATATGCAATAAGAGATCTCTAACCTTCAAACTGTTGAAGGAGAATACCCTATGATATGGTTCAGAGTTTAGGGCCATAGCATTTGAATATAAATTTAGGAAGTATGTTCCAAATCACATTCAAGGTAATCATACAAATGAGAGGATCACATTGGATAGTAGACTTGAATAAACTATCATCCAAACAATGTGATCAAGAGTATTGGTTTAGAGAAGGACCATATTGCATTGTAATCCCAAACTGAATAGGTTCTCCACCTCTTGTGTTTAACTTGGGTAGCCATGACATACTGCTAGGTGTCATTCATGGTTTATGGAAACCCTGAAGATTAGCAATCACTAATCTTTGTCAAGGGGACAATTGAAAGTAAGTTTCAATTAACAATTGATTAGTAAGAGATCTAATCGCCCACTACCCAGCTAATTAGAACCTAATGGATCGTACACCATGTAAGTTGGAGATTGAAGAAACAACGGAGTTGAGTAGGGACAATTAAATGGTGTAATTGTTTATGGCTAGCATTAATTAATATGTTAATTAATCAAACGAATAATTTTATGTTAGCTTTTGAGTAATTATTGGACCTTAAGGCCCAATGAGCTTAGAACCATCAAGCCCATTAACTTAAGTTGTATGACAACTTAATGACTAAAGACTTAAAAGGGCCCCAAAAGCTTTTAAAGGGCCGGCCATAGCATGAAGGAAAGGTTCTGCTCTTCTTGTCACTTAAGTGAAGTGACTGCAAAAAGGAATTTATAGCCAAAATTCATTAGTGTTCTCTTTGAGGCAATTGGAGAGAACAAAAGCTCTCATTCCACCTATAAGAGGCAGGCCCTTTGGGGAGTTTTTACTAGCATCAAATTCTCCCCAAAGCCACTCATCTCTTCTTCATCCTCTCTTTGGTGTGGTGATGTTAAAGGTTCCCTTTCTTGGAAACTTGAAGAATTTATTCATCCATCTTTTCAAGAAATCCATGGAGCAAAGAATCAAGGAATGAAGGTGTGAAGTCTAGACTTAACTGTTTGCCTTTCCTTGTTAAATATTGTAATTGAACCACACATGCTCAATCTACCTTTAGGCTATTATATGTTTATGAGTTATGTCTGCTGGGAAGAAATGTTCAAGAATGCGTACATCTCACTTCAAAAGATTTGTTCATGCATATGCATTTCAAGCCTATATTATTGTTACATTCTGACTAGTTTGGTTGGCATGTCAGTTTTGTGCGCTGACTTCTAGTTGTCTGGGCACACAAATTAAGACAACCCATATGGGCTAACTAATACCTTTTTGTTGGTGGTCAATCTTTGGCCTTTAATCTACTCAGATTGTCTGCTGGGTTGACAAATGGTTTTTGTCCTTGGATGTGCAAAAAATCATATTTGTCTATATAACCTTAGTTAGGGTTTTCATTTTCTTTGGTTAGGGATTTTACAATTTCACAAGAGTGTTCTTAAAGCTTTTAAGCTGCCTTTTGGTGTTCCTCTTAAGAAATCCTTTCCCACAAAATCACATTGATGCACTAAACACCCAAATCGTTGTATATTAGGGTAGCATTGTCTTTGTGATTTTTGTTTTAAGTTTGTGGCTAGAAGATTCATACTTTATGTCAAGACTGTTTTCAAGC